CACACTGTATTGTTCCAAGCACACTTTAAAACTATGGTTTCACCCAAAAATGCAGTACGTTCATGTACAGTACACTTCCTCATGTTTGCGTTAACAACATGATAACACTGTAGGTTTCCTCACACAGTTTGTAGACTTTCCCTGACCCCCTTCAGCTCCTGACCTTCCAGGTGTCAGGTTGTAAAACTGTGACGCAGGCCATGTTAATGGCTCACAATACGTGGTGCTGTGTACAGTGAGTGACAGTGTGTTTGTGTCAGGGCAGAACATGACGGAGCTGCACAAACATGCAAACATAAACACAAACACGTCCAACAAAACACACAGACTGTGTTTCTCTGACACCGAACACACGTTTGTCAGATATTTACAGGAACAAGCTGCAGGTTTTACAAGGTGTAGCTGCTCTCAGGTGGGACACACACATAAATACACAGTCATACAGCAACTCCTGCACAAACATTGCATGGCAACAAAAACACAAAATTACATAATATCATGTTCATGTTGGTCCAGTGCAATTTCACCCCCCCCCCGTCATCCAACCTCCTTACGCTGGAAGACATAAAGAGAGCAGCAGCAGATGATCCGAGCTACACCACATCAGACTCTATACGACAGCAAAACATCTCACATATATTTGTCCACTTCTCTCTCTCTCTCTATCCCCTTTGGTATCGCTGTCTATCAGGAGGACATGACTCCTGTTCCGGAGGTTTCCCCCGGTGTTCAGTGTGTCCGAGTCGACTCCAGAGTGTCAGCTGATCACAGTCAGAGCTGCACCACCTACAGCCAGAACAACCAGCTCACTTATGGCTTCCTCTTCCCCCCAGGTAAACCTCTTCCCCCCAGATAAACCTGCAGGACGACAAGTGGTAATTAGGGCTGGTAAAAAGATCATATTGTGAATAATTTGACAGATATTGTTATTGTGATATGATTCACGATTAATGGAAATTTTAATTTTGGCATTACAATTTTCATTTTCACTTTCAATAATATTTTGATTAATTGTGCAGCCCTAATGTTAATACGGTTTCTTTGACAATGCACAGCACAAATATTCCACCTGCTACAAGCTATATCTCTTCTGTAGTATCTGATGTGGACTGCAGTTTGAAACAGTTAAAAATATCTTTATTATTAAGATGACAACATGAAAATAATACTTATTATTATTGTAATTATTATTAATATTGTTATTATCATATTGTCACTCATTTAACAAGCACTTTTGTATACAGTATTTATCTAATGATCAAACTGATGCAACACTTATGTATCTACATTGTACTGCAGGTTTATTGGATTAAGTCCGTTATTCCCAACCAGGGGTACATACCAGAGGGTACTTCTTCAACTAATTTGAAAAAGAAATGAAAAGAAAATATTATTATTCTTATTAGAAAATATATATCAACATAGTCCGCTGTAACACCTACAGTGCAGGTGTTGAATGTGGGGGTCTGATACAAGACACTGTTATATAATATAATGTATAATAAGATAATGGAATATTAAGAGTATGTGTTTATTGTGTGATTTTTTTGACAGAGCTGGCGTCGTCTCCAGAGTCCAGATATGACGCTTCGCTCATCACCAACACCGCCCCTATGTACCCGGCCTTCAAGAGTGAGTCGCACACTTCATTTCCTTATATGGGGGAAACCGGAATGTTATAGTGGGGAATCCTGGAAACGAAGGTGGAAAAAAGAAGCAAAAAACGTGATCAGAAAATGAAACAAAGGGGGAAGTTAATGATTAGACGGGTCCGACAATATGAGCCAATCAGTGTTGTCCAGGTTTCTCCCTGACCTCCAGGGAAACTGGAAACATTTTATTTATACTTTACACTTTGTCTTGTTTTAATGATTGTTTGGGACCAGAAACTTGGTTTATAGAACCTGTTACTGATCACATTCATAACAGAAACACCTAACAATACAATCAGTTCCAAAAGTCGAGAAGCTTTTAGATGCTCCAACAAAAACTCTACCAAGACTACAATCTCCAGATCGAGAGTTAAAACCTCTTATTTTAGAGGTTTAAGATATTTCTGCCTCATTCAGCTGTTTGTAATCACCAGATTTATCCGTCCCTTCTGTCTTCCTGTACACCAGCGGCGTCCTGTCGTATCACATGAGACAAAAGACATAATGTGGTGATGTCAGGTCTGGGCGAGGACAGCCTGATACCCATTGTTTTTGTAGAGAGAAAGAGGACTTATCAGGACAAAACACGCTCTCTCTCTCTCTGAATCGCTGTCTCATGCAGACACACATATTTCATCCTTGTTGTCAGCAGAGTGCGTTTCTGAAGAATAGATTATTTTCTTGTTTTACTTCAGGCTGGAAATGGGATTGGTAACATCTGACTTAAGGGGAAGTAGCAGCAGTGACAATATGTAGCTGAACATTTTTCACAGTCATTTTCAGCCCTGACCAGAGTGATGTTATCAGAGAGAATGCTTCACTTCCCAGAGTAGGTTATGAATGAAGTTCTAACAGTGACCAGAAACCACCTTTTAAGGACCTAACATACTTCTCACTGATGTGTCATAGATTTTCAAAACCTTTTTTATTTTCTAGTTCTAGTCTTTCCAGTAAGATTTCTTCCTGCAGCTGTTTTCCACACTCAGAGTAAAAGCGCATTTATAAAGCAATTAGTGGATTTAATCAATGAGCTGCATTTAATGGATTTCATGAATATTGATGTACAGTAATTATGCAGAGGTTTTAAAGGTTGTTAAAATTCTGTTTAAAAACAGTCAGGGGAGTCCTTTGGAAAGGAAGCATTAAAGCGTTATTTACCCATCAGATTATTTTCAAAGAGAGCTACAAATCATTTCAATAACAACCTGCAAAATGAAAGTATCAAAGTACGGGAAGTCTTTTTATTCAGTGCACAGAGATTTGTCTCACACAATCTGGGAACTCAACACCTTGCTGCAGCTCTGATGTATAAACCCTACTAGTCTGTGTGATTTCATTTTTCCGTTTATTTGGAGGAGGATGTAGTTCTCTAAGGGTCGAAAGGTTTTATGATCCATTTGCTACTGCAACTTTTCATAGCCAGTTACATAATATTTAGAAATGTTTGTATTTTCCTGTCAAATAATGGACATGCATTCATCTTTTTCCCCCTTTTTTTTTAATGGGGAACACAAGCAACACAATAGTGTTAACATGCACCACAGGGCGCCTCCCCAGGGACGTGTTCTTGGCACGTCCAGCTGGGAGGAGGCCACGGGGCAGGCCGAGGACCAGGTGGGAGAGTTACTATCTCCAAACTGGCCTGGGAATGCTCGTGATCCCCAGTCAGAGTTGGCAATGTGGCCAGGGGAAGGGAATTTGGATCCTCTGCTGGACTTGCTAGCCCGCGAACCCGAGATCCTGGATAGCGGATGGAAGATGAATGAATGAATGCAGCACTTTATTATTTTCACTGGCTGAGATCTGATCACATTGAGAGTCTGACCATCTTGTTATGGCCAAACATTACTGTTAACATGTTGGCTCAACCAATTGTGACCACCAGCATTTAAAGAGGACAGCATAACCCCATAATTAGTTTTAAAGCAACACAGATTATATCTACAAGTAGTGCCACTAATTAACAGAAACTATGGGAGTCCTTGCATCCTTGAAAAATAAAACACAAAAATAATGAGTAAAATGAGCCAACACCGGTGGGATCAGCAGATATGGGGGCAGGGCCACTAACCAGCCAACCCCAGTGAGCAATGAGAGAGAGAGAGAGAGTAACACACCTGTGATGCATCTGATCTGACTGCATTAACACGCAGTTCTCCTGATCCAGATAAGAAACCTTAACACAGGTGTAAATGATCACATCAGTGACCGATGACACCGGTCTCAATGTTAGCACTTTCTTTGTGTAGCTGGATCTCACCCCTTTTTTTCCTGTCTGCAGGAATATGGAGTTACCTGCAGGGGACGCTGCTGAGGCGTTACGCAGAGGAAAACAATGGTGTCAACGTCCTCACTGGGCCCATCTTTGACTACAACTACGACGGCCTCAGAGACACCACAGAGAAGATAAAAGAGTAAGGCCTCAAGTGTCATGGCAGACAACACTGTGGCTTTATTGTTAGGATTATATAGCAGCTTCTTTGGATTGTTTAAATTTTGAGATAAAGTATTGTGCGTTTTTACACAGTATCTTTTTTTTATTGTTACTTTATAATGTAAAATGTAAATGCACATTTACACTGAAGTTTAAAATATAAGCATTGATTAATGTCGCCCTCCAGAATCAATCAAACAAACAAAAGAAATGCGGCTGATTTTGTGAACTACCCCGCTGTTATAAATCTGTGTCAAGGCAGATGACCACCCACTAGAGCGAAGGTCTGTCCGAGGGTTTGCCTGTTAAAATGCGTTTTTCCTTGCCCCGTCGCCAAGTGCTTGCTCTGGTAGGTGCTGTTGGGTCTCTGTAATGTTAAAAGGGAGTTCAGGTCTAGACCTGCTCTATTTGAAAGTGTCCTGAGATTAACTTTGTTAGGAAATTGGGCGCAACTATACCAAATAAAATTGAATTGAAATTGAAAAATTAACTCTGACCCCCTTCCTCTGTACAGGTTCTCGGCCGACGGCCCGTCCGTCCCCACCCACTTCTACACAGTGGTGACGAGCTGCCAGGAGCTGAACCAGACTGTGGAGGAGTGTGAGGGGGCGCTCAAGGTCTTTTCCCTCTTGCTCCCACACAGACCCGACAACAGTGAGGCCTGCCATGTAAGTTCAAACAATACCCAGCAGGGGGCAGCGCTGTCCCGACTCGACATGACTTCAGTCACGACATGACTTCAGTTCAAGAGTCAGTTAGGAAATAAGGCACACAGTGTATGCGAGGGTGGTACCAGAACTGTACCTCAGTGCATACATACTTACTACTACTACAACTACATACTTGAGATCCTTAAATTTTAAATGTGAGAATTTGCTTCTTTTTCTTTTGAAGATGCTACTTTGAGCGCTGGGTAATTGTATGGGCGTTTCTCACAATGTTCTCTTGTGCTCACTCTTCTCGCTGATGGTCAAGTTTCTTTATAGGTCATAACTCTACATGCCAACATTAAGATTTAAAAATACGGGAGATGTTTTTTCGCCAGAAGTGTGGAGGGGATGGGAAATGGTAACTGACTCACCGTCCTGCCCTGACATTTTGCCGGCAGTCTATGTTAAGTTATTGTAGCTCTTTGTGTATGGAAAATTACAGATGTTTTCCTGGGAAAACTACTAAAGGGGAGGGTGCTGGGAGATGGTTCTGACATATGGGAGAAACCCTAGAAAGTGTTGAGTTTGAGTGTTGGCAGGTTAGGGTTAGGTAAGATTAGGATAACATTTTCAATGCAGGACCCTTGACGTCAACGGAAACATGACGTACATCCCTTTACGTATTTACGGCAGTGAGTCATAGCAGATTCTCTAAATGTCTCAAACATTCTCATGTGACAGTGAATCGTAGACATCAAGTTGAATTCGGATGGTCTCAACAAAACCTCAGTTATGAGGTTAACCAAACCGATATTAGATTGTATTAGGTGTTCTTGTATTTTTGTCCGTCCCCATTAAACAAAGTAAAAACAATAAGAAAAAGGCTCTGTATATATTAAGAGGCAGGATTTGTAAAGATTGTTTTTTGGTTGCTAATACGTTCATTGAGAATGGAAAAAAAAGTGAGCATAGTTGTTGTTGTGGCGTAACATGGATTGCTTTAACAATCATGATTTAACTACTGTACATATTTTTTGTTAAATCTGTGCCAAACATAAGCATACACATTATGTAGGTAATCTGAAATAAACATTCACAAATACACCTGATATGATAATCAAGCTTAAATTTAAAAGCTTAAAATGAATGTGACACCTTCACCAAAACAATGAATAAAAACAGATTTACATTTTACATCAAACCTTTTGGCATATAATGTAATTCTGTTCTGAACATCAATTCCCTGCAATACTCAAAGAAGCCACTAGATGGAATAATTGCTTCAATGTAGCTTTCCTAATTTAGGAAAACACACATATAGACAAATAAAACAAAGAAAAAATATATTTAATTCCTATAATTATAACCTAAATAAGGGAATAAAAACATTCAGAGAATGAATTCCTGCAGCAAACACAATCAGTACTAAGTTTCAACATTTTGCTCTTAGACCTTCTTTACAGTGTAAAACATCTTTATACTCAAGAACACATGACTTACACAGACTGGCAATTGTTTGAGCTGACAACATCAAAGTTTTTATTTCTCTCTATTGATCTTGAAATAAACATTTGTGTTCAGCAGAGGTTAACTCCCAGGCTGCAAGAAAATTATAGGATTCTCCAAAAAAAAAAGAAAGAAAAAAAAGATGAATAGCAATTATGTGAGTTTTTAGGTAATTGTTAGAGGATATTTTGGCGAAAATGGCCTGGAGCTTTTTGCAGTTTGTGCTGCATTTTTTCCATCTCTCCCTGTTAAAACCCCAACAACAATATCGATATTTAAGTAGGTCATCAGTACTAGGTAACCAGTTTATCATTACCACCTATTAGCATTGGCAGTACATGAAATCTGTGCTGCTGAGATGTTTATCTGTATTTTGTATGTCTGGGAAATTACCACAATATAATCCAGAGAAAGCCAACTTTCTTTTTTAATGGTCAGCCTCTCTCTTTGGGGTATACTCCTTTCTGGCGTGAATGTATCATGAGAGGATGAATTATCTAAAGTCATGAGTCATTTAGATGGAATTTGTCTTTTTTTGCAAAGTTAATGCACTTTTCTTTCTCTGGACAATAACAGTTCACTTTGGCGTTTTCTTTTGTGCATAAGGTGAAAGGTTTCAACATCTAATCCTCCCAATCGTCAAGTTATGCTAGGTAACGGCTAGATTTTGAAAGAAATCCAACCCCCCTTGTTTCAGGCCTCCTTCCAAAGCCACACTCCCAACACACATGAGCACACAGCGCATTAATGTTGAGTTGTGTTCATAATTTCTATAAATATAGAAATAAATATCGTAAATGTTGTATTAACAGTGGGTTCTGCTGCCCCCAAGGCCCCTAATGCAACTTCAGTTATTATTTGTTCATTTATTTGATTAAGTTTAAATTAAAAGGTCCAGTGTAACATTCAGGAGGATCTCTTGTGTGTTTATTACCTTTTAGAATGAGCTGTTTTTATCTACAGGGAGTGGGTCCTCTCTTGTGGAGTCTGCCATGTTACACCGCCATGTTTCTACAGTAGCCCAGAACAGACAAACCAAAATTTTACACACTAGTCCTTTTAATATTAAATGTCCTCTTATCCACTGAAGACTGAACAGCCTGCAGAATATAAACATGCTGTTTTACAACAGGAATCATGTTTTAGCTTTTGACCTGCCACTGAAGTCACCTCGGATTCTGAGGTTACATTTTGTTTTTCTTTCTTGTTGTCAGGTTTTAGTCAGACAGCCTAAACTGTAGCCAGCAACATGTGACTGTGTCAAACTGAGGGGAACTCCCTTTCTTCCATCTAACCTTTACTTCAGCAGACATTTCTGCATTTTCATTTCATTGAGTCTAAAACTAAACATTTTGAAACAATAAAATCTACATTGACACAAGCAAACCCACTTTGAAAACTACTTACATCACCTACATGGCAGGAAGTTTCCAGCAGTCATACTAGCCTTTTCATCCCAGTGGTTACCTGATCTCTTTGTGGTTTACAAAAACACTTTTTGGCAGGCTTAGGATATGAGAAAAGTCCCCTACTATGCCGGAACCCCAGCAGACTCAATAACCCTTGATTTAAAGAGAGGGAAAAAAGTGCAGAATCAAAAGATTCATGACTTCAATAGAGGACCAGTGAGCTGTTTAAAAAACCCCACTGATATTAAAGTCACCTGATCTCACTTTGAGACATGAAATACGTGCAGCAGATACATTATGGCAGAGATAATCCGTAGTATGACACTGTAGAAGTGAAAGCTCGCCCAGTAAATTGAGGAGTAGTAAAGTAATAGGTGCGTTTTTTAATAATCCACAGTCAAGTTGAGGACATCAAATATAGAAAATGACAGACTTCGTCATCTGCAATTTGCGGCTAAAGAGTCAGTGCAAATTAGAAACTGTATTTTGGATCTATTCTTTGTCATTTAGCATTGTAATTTGCAGGTGACAAGAAGTCTAGACATTTGGGTTCAAGATTTTACTGCATAGTTAGGAGTTGCTTCATTTAAATGCTGTTTTTAAATTGTTTTTTTTTTGTTTGAGAGTACACTTAATTGCCTTTCCGAAAGGAAGATGAGAAGATTTATATCACTAATACTTATGATGATGATACTTTCTTGCTTTGAATAAGGAAAATCTTGAAGTCTGATATAAAAATGAAGAACATGCTAGTTTGACATTTTGAGAATAACTCTTATTTGCTATGCTTTTTCATGTGGAGCATGAAATGAGAAGGTGATACTACTGTGTGTACTGCTTTAACCCTTAGGTGTTCCTCGCGACATTTTGCTACAATTCCGTTTTTTATTTTCATGCTATTGGCGTTCAATGATGAAGCTCAAACTGCAAAGGTTATTTCATTTTGCCATGTGTTAGAACTTCTGGTCTTAGTTCCTAAATTAGCCTAATGCGCAAGCTAGACACACAACACTCACACATTTGTTCTACGGCAGAAAAACTGCCACATTTAAAACCATTCAACAGCCATTCTTTGGATCCATGTTCAGTCTATCATAAACAAATGTCTTTTTTATGTTTAACACGATTATCAAATTGTTATCTATAAGCTTTCAATTTTAATTTTATATTATTCACCACATCGGCATTAAACTTTTTCCCATCAAACACCAGCGAAAATTATACATTTTACGTGTTTCTGCCGTCTTGGCACTGAAATAAGTGTGTATTGCTATCTGATGGATGTGATGTGTGTGGTGTGTGCTGGTGTGTGTTTGTGTCATGGTTGTTGGTGTGTGTCAAACTTCACAGTCTTTTCTCTAGAGCAAACCTCCTGCGTTATTAGACACTAATTCAATAATAAAAACTCTGAGTGGCGAGAACCAAACAAAACTGTGAACTTTGATTTTGGTTCTCGTTCAGGCTGCTTGTGCGGGGCAACTGCAGTCATGGTCTAAGATACCCAGCATAGTGAGGAGTCGCATTTCTAGAGACTGGCAAGGCACTTACAGCACGCAGGAGGCCTTGAAATCATCGTGGGCTCCGAGAGCGAAGGTGGCTCCTCATCTACCCTTCGAGACTCTGATTCCTCCACGAGGACCGCCTCAGCAGTAGAGACAGATGATAATGGTGTCTAGCTGATCATTGAAGAACTGACAATGAAATCTGATGACAGCAGCAAGCAAAAGAACTCAAAAAGGGAAAGAATCACTGGTTTTCATACAAATTGAGACTTTCCCAACAGAGAGTTGTGTAAACTATTGGGCTTTAAAGGGTTAAATCCAAGTATCAATAAAATTTGATATGTATATTTCAAGCTGAAGTAGATTCTAAAAGATTCGCGACGTCATTTAAATGTACCGAACAAATAATGATTAGTAAGATCTTTACAGCATTTTGCGAAAGTGGCAGGTTCTGGCCTTGAAGGAACAAATGTGCTATTGATTTTTTTTAAGGATCCCCTAAGGGTTAAGTATGGAACTGCAGCTTGTGTGATTAGCCTAGCTTAGCATAATGACTGGGATCAGTGGGAAACATCTTTTCTAAAACCCCCCAAAAAGAATT